TAGCGTGAACCGAGACTTAAGCATTTTTATGAACTGAGTCAGTTCAACATCAAGTCAGAAAATTAGTTCCAGATTTGAAAACTTCCAAAAACACTAGGTAGCCTCAAGACAGAAATTCTTTAACTTAGCCGTTAAAGTGAGACTAGAAAATGAGATTTAAACGTTTTAAAAATCGTGCGAGCGAACCTAGTAAGATAAGATATTAAAGAATCAAGTTTTTTTACGTTGAGCTGAATACTTAGAATATATTGCTTAAATATCTTTGTAGCTTACGGAGAGTTGAGCCTCCGCCAGCTACGCATTCTCTTCCAGCACTTGCATCCAGCTATCAGGTGGGGACCCTGTACTGTGTATTACATTGCCTATAATTGCTTATCTTGTCTGAGGTGTCTGAGGTATGTATGTGAGTAGATTGAGGAGCGGGATGGATGAGTCTATCCATCCTAGGTAGAGATGTAGTATGACTTGGATGTGAGGAGAGTGTGCTCGTCCTAAGTCGAGCGTCCAGATGGGGTGAACGTGTCTTTCCTGTGGGAGGAGACCCGCAGAGTGTGGACATGAGTACCAGAGAGTTCGGTAGTCTCAAATAGCCAGTTTATTTATATATATGTTGTTGTCATGATTTGCTATTATTTGTGATGTACATTCAGTGTCGGTTTCTGCCGAGCACGTGGATTTTATGCTCACGCCCCCACTATCTATCATTTTCAGGTGACAGTGTCCAGCGTGACACATGAGCAAGCAAGGTGGTGGTGGTCAACGCAAGTGGATAATTTGATAAACGTGTCATGAGATTTATTTGAACATGTTTGTGAATTAAGTATGTTTGACCATTAACTTCCGCATTATCAGAAATGTATGAGATCATGAGACATTAGACTATGCATGTTTAAAACCAACAATTTCCATAGTACCTAATCTCGAGAGTGAACTAGATACGGATGCATGCATGAGTTACCGGGCCGATGACCGGGTGATGGTAAGAGTTCAGATAGTTGCATATATGTTTATACATTTTGAAAGAAATAAAGAGAAAGTAGTGAGCAAGTTTAGTAGCATCACGTGAGAAAGATAAAGTGTTTTTGAAAAATTAAGTTAATGTTTTCGAAAATTATATTAGTGTTTTCAAATTATAAAGCAAAAAATTTTTACTTCATATTAGTAAATTCTAGTAATAGTAAGTGGAGTGTTACATCTATACTTATATTAAAAGCCATACTATTTACCCAAAATAGTAGCAAGAAAAGTCAACTCACATTTAATGCATACTTTATTTAGAAATTTTTTAATATATGCATTAATTGCTTGCATATATACATTTCCTATTCAAATATGATCAAAAAGATTCTTTCCTTAAATAATTTTATTAACTTCTGTAATGATTTTACTGATATATATTATAATTCATATTTGTCGATAGTATTTTTTAATTTTTATTTGAGTATATAAAAAACAAATATTTTTTTTAAAATAATATTTTATTTATCATTTAAGATATAATGATCACATCATTAAATGATATTACTGATGGCTAGATAATAATTTAAAATACATTAATTATTCTTTAAAATTTTGGCATGTTATTTATTTTTATCCATACTTATTATATAAGGTATCATATTTACCAAATTTAGTAGATTGAAAAGTCAACGTAATTAATGCATTGTTATTTCTATCCAAAATTTTATTTAATTATTTTATTTATTTGTCTTATATCCCATAAAATCAGTTTAAGAAAAAAAATGTCATAACATCTGACAAGTAAAAAAAAAAAGACGAAAAATCTTTACTAAAATAAAAAGACTTTATCTATTTGTTTTATTCCATATTAACATCGATTTTGTCAAAATAAATCTCATAAAATCAGTGAAGTCAAAATTTGTACGTAAAGTCTATCTATCCAAAAAAAAAGTCAAATTCAAAATTTCTTATCTAATTCCTTCTTTTTCTTATCTAATTCCTTCTTTTCCTTATCTAATTCCTTTTTATTATCTAATTGTATGAAAATCTGTTCTGATTTTGTTCAATCCTCTAATTATATTTGTATTATATTCCATAAGTCGGTTTAACAAAAAAAAATACCATAACATCCGATAAGTAAAAAAAACAAAGTACGTAAAATCTTTACTAAAATAAAAAGGCTTTAGTTATTATCTAATTTATTATCTAATTGTATGAAAATTTGTTCTGATTTTATGGTACGCACTACAAATTGTGCACCCGTGTTCAGGAGATACTTAACGGACAAGCTCTGTGGAAATGTCATTTAGTGCTTTTGTCCCGTGCATACGGTATGTATTTTTATTACACATACTAGAATATTGTGCACCCCGTGCATCGCACGGGCTCTGTACTAATAAATGACCTTAAAATTGTGCACCCCGTGCATCACCCATGTTCACATTTTGGCATATTACAGGTCACGTACTATATATATCCCGTACATTTTTTTTTATTAATTTATATAATTATAAGAATGGATAAATGACCTTAAAATTGTGCACTACTAGTATTAATTAATAAAGTATTCAATTTTCCATTACACTACTTCAAATTCTACTATATTAATTACAATAATTAAGTTTATAACATTTATAAAATATTTTAATTTAACCCATAAAGCTAATTAATTCGTTCAACCTAATTGTAGTAAAAAAAGGCCCAGCCATAATAAATCTAAATGGGCCCATAATACATTTCAACTTCATTTTTAACTAAAAAAAAAGAAGAAAAAGTTGAAAGCGGGTGAACAGTGGAACGGTTAACCATTCTATAAAATCCCGAGTGCCGTTCCCTGCTGATATAGAGAGCCGATTAAAGATTAATTTCCTTCAATGATGCCACTTCTACTGGGTAAAGAGAGTCAGTTGGAGATGCTCTAGGGTGTGTAAATAACAGTTCCACTTTGGGTCTTTCGCACCCATCGGTTGGAACAAATTAATATGCAATCAGGTGAAGAAATTATAAAATAATTACAAGATTTTGACACTTTAGACACATCTTAATGTGTATTGTTGATAGGTAAGCAATTTCAGTGTACATGGTACTTTTGTCCACTTAAAATATTATTATTATTTATGTTTTTTTTTAAAAAATTTGATCCCAAATTTTGGATTACATTTAAAGAGAGAAAAGAAAAAACTTCAAGAGAAGTAAGTATGAAAGATGCGCATATTTCAAGAACAAATGTCACTCAACTCTATAAGGCTTAACCTCTAGACGTGCAAAAAATAAAAAGAACAAAATCTAATCTCCCATCGCCACCATCTGGGATCAAAGGCATTCAAAATCACCAGGTAAGGCGGAAAGTACTATTGATCAGTCTATTGTTTCTAACCTATGACGTGTATCGATATCGACCCGTGCCTGAAAGCCATTACACTTGTGATTGTCACCATACATACATTTCCATGTACTGCAATTCTTTTTCTTCATTTTCCTGCACTAGCTAAGTTCCTCTAATCAAGAAGATACTTCTATTTGAAGCACAAAACATTCGATTACGGGTTGTGTATACATACGTGTAATTACTTTGTGAAGTTACAGCTCTTCGGGGCGCATCTTTAACGAGTAATTATTTACAATAATTGGTCAAGAGAAAGAACCTCAGTTAGAAATAGAGTCCTCTATGAAACCCTCACGAACATCTCCTCGGCAGAGCGGGCACACACTGCAACAGCAGAAAAAAGATTTTGAAATTAAATCAGAAATGCACGAATGGAAAGAAGGAAAACAAAAATCAAAGATGAAATGCAGCTACGAAATTTGCGTACCCATGTATCTCTTTAAGCCATTTATCCACACATGACATGTGATACTCATGGAGACATGGCAGAACTCGTATTTCATCTCCATCTTCATACTCGGCCAGGCATATATAGCACCTATTCAATGATTTCATGATTAAACATTTGAACGATGGTCAATGTTAAAAGATAGTTTAATAATCCTACATTATACAGCCAATAGATGATGTGAGTTCCTTCTGTTCTATGACCTTGAAAGATTTTAATCTCAACTGATGTATAGTAGCATCAAACAATCATGTTGCAGTCACGATAACTGAGTTGTCCTGATGAAATTAAGCGATTTAAGTATATGATGAAATATATTTGTATTTGGTCAGATTGCAAGTTGACAATGTAGGTTCAAAACAAAATGCATTTAATTGCGATTCTTCCTGAGAAAAATGTGAAATGCCATGTGTAGGTACATCTATTTCCATTTCGAAGTTTTTTGAAGCACACACATACACACACACACACACACACACTAGAACATGAATCACGATAATGAAACCATAGGAACTCTAATATTTCACCACTATGGAATGATAACTTCAGAAGAATTCCATTCCTTATGCAGGATAATCAATTTATTATGTCTTGTGTTTGTTTTTGTTTGTCTGCATGTGCAAAAGATTGATACATTCCTTGAATTAGTATAAAGATAAACCATATAGCATAATTATTCAGAATACGTAGTGATAATTAGAGTTTTATTGAAATATTAAAGGAAAGAAGGTGCCTCTGAAGACAAAAATACATGATCTATTTCAATGATGGTGATTGAATACACCAACACAGAAAATAGCACCAAAGAAACAGTTGGATTATTGAGTTCTTCTAGCCTGTCTGTGCTTACTTCCCACCCATAATTCATGCATCCAATTGAATCATAATTATACACACATAACACGAACAAAAAAAGTATTGATCACCCCAATTTACTTTCTAATTTCCATTCACTACATGAACATTAGAAAAGCAGGAGAAGACATACTGTGAAACATCATCTGCAGATTTCATTTCTGTCTTTCGATGGGTCTTCACGGGAAAAGAGTTAACGACAGATTCTTGAGCAGGAAGTGAGACCATAGATAAGGAAAGTGACATTGGCTGTTGGTGAATTTGATCAAGTACCTGAACATACATAGCATATGAAATCAAAAGGTCAGATATATTCAAAAGGATGCACACCGCATAAAACCTGTAAATGATCTACTGGAACAACTTTCCTACAGGTCACCGAGTATAGAACAGAAATCTTGTTTCCAATGCTTAAACAATTTTTTTTACTCATGTCAGACCATATACCATTAAGAAAACAACCAAAAAACAAAAAGAAAATGGGAGGCATGTTTTAGTAGAGGAGTTTACAAATTATGAAATTAAAGGAAAGTAAGGGTGTGATTGAATATCAATTTGACTGGTTTTTGATTGGTTTTTTTTTATTTTTTAACCATAATTAATTTTGAAAAAGATTGTATGATTAGTAGTTAGTGGAAGTTCAAGTGTAAATTAAAATTATTTAATATAAAAATAACTAAAGTTGATTTGATATAAAAGTATGAGAAAAATGATTGGACATAATGACTAGTCAAAATTATGTGAGTGGATAAATAGTGAAAAAGTTGATGTGATATGTAAGATGATTGGTTAATATTATTTAATTAAGTGATAGCAACAATATTTGACTTGTAAATTCCCTTAACTTGTAATGCATATATCTCTGCGTAGAAGGTCTATATGCTGCAAGCTAGGAGCAGAACTGTTTTATTAAATCTATATATTTTATGCTGTATTTACTTAAAATAGTATAGTTTTCCCGCCAAAAAATGTATTTTAAAACTAAATATGATTCTTTTTTACAAAAAAAACAATTACCTTCCATCCATGGTGAGACTTTAATTTTTATTTTACGTGATTTGATTATCAATAATTGATCCAAATCTATGATTAAGCTTTTTAAAAGTTTATAATCAATTATTTTATTTCTATCTAATTTACTTTTAATCTTATGTCCAGTGATTGATATCAATAATTTGATATTGAACTTTCCAAATATTTTCAACCAATTATTTCATTTCAAGATAGTATAGATTTTTATTTGATTTAAAAAATATAAATTAATGGATATGATTATAGATTAATCGCTCTAAGGATGTTTATCCATAATTAAAAAAATATATGAAATCTAAATATTTTCTAAAACGCCTAGATTAAGAAAATGAAATGACATTAATACTTAATATGAAAAATGAAAAGAAAAAGAAAAAAAACATACAATGAAAATTTTCCATATCATTGTCTGCTTTCTATTTTTTTTTTCATTTTTCTTATTAAGTATTAAAGTAATTTCATTTTTAAATACTTAATAAGATTTCCAGTCAATTTCTATTTATAATATTACATTAACCTTCATTTTACAATTTTCAATTTGACAATCATGCTATAACTAAAAAAATATTTCTAAATTATGAATAAGTTTATTAGTTAATACTGCATATACAAAATGAACTTAATTTATTATTTAATACATATCAATTTAAAAATAACGAATTAGTCTCGAGTTACTCATACTATAAAATATAAATGTATATATAATAAAATCTACTTAGCATAAAATAATCTAAATTGATATGTTTATCTTCCATGGGTTTAAAAATAATTCAAAAAAAAAAGTATAAGTAAAAAACTATTTTGAGGGTCAAGTATATCGGGTCATTTGTCAAAATGCCATGTAAGTTATTAGATTATAAAGAATCAAAATATTTATAATATGAGTTAGTATAAATTATGATAATTAACGAGTCATCTCTCGAATTGACATGTAAGTTGTAAGCTTAGAAATAAAAAACAAAACGTTTTTAATATTTGTTACAAATTATGATAACAAACGAACAGATTCTCGAACTATCCATGTAATTTATTATCTTAGAAATAAAAATAAAAATATTTATAAATATATTATTATAAATTATAATAATAAACCACCGAGTTATTTGTCAAATAATTACGTAAATTGTTATATTAGAAAAAAATAAAAAAATTATAATATATATATTTTGTTACAAATTATATTAATAGATCAACCATGGTCAACCATGTGAATTATTAGGTCAGAAAAAAATAATACATTTATAATATACATTATTATAAATTATAAAAAAATATTAAAATCATTTTAAATTTAATTATAAATAAGTAAATTTCATAACTTTAGAATAATATACAATACATTCTTTTTACATTAAGGCCTTGTTTGGCGATCAGCGGATAGCGGATTGTATTAGCAGATAGCAGATAGCGGATTATATTAGCTGATTTGACCAGCGAATTGCATTAGCGGTTTTTAAATAAGTGTTTGGTAAATAGCTGAAAGCTTATAGCTGTTTGACATTATAAATTACCAATAAGGACATTTTTATTATTTAGGATGTATTCTTTTAATAATAATATATTAAAACATTTAATATTCTTTAGTTGGTAATTTAAAAATATATTATTTTTTTTTAAATTTACTAACACTTGATTAAGAAGTTATAAATTTTACATTTTTCTAGATAAATTAATCATATAGATGACATATTAT